GCAATATTATTATAAAGAATCGAACTTGGAGTACTTTACAGCAATCTTATTATAAAGAATCGAACTAGGAGTACATTACAGCAATCTTATTATAAAGAATCGAACTAGGAATACTTTACAGCAATCTTATTATAAAGAATCGAACTAGGAGTACTTTACATCAATCTTATTATAAAGAATCAAACTAGAAGTACTTTAAAGCAATCTTATTATAAAGAATCGAACTAGGAGTACTTGACAGCAATCTTATTATAAAGAATCGAACTAGGAGTACTTTACAGCAATATTATTATAAAGAATCGAACTAGGAGTACTTTACAGCAATCTTATTTTAAAGAATCGAACTAGGAGTACATGACAACAATCTTATTATAAAGAATCGAACTAGGAATACTTTACAGCAATCTTATTATAAAGAGTCGAACTAGGTTTTTTACAGCAATCTTATTATAAAGAATCGAACTAGGAGTACTGTAATCTTATTACAAGAAATCGAAGTAGGAAAACTTTACATTGATCTTATTATAAAGAATCAAACTAGGAGTACCTTAGAGTGATCCTATCACAAAGAATTTAACTAGGAGTACTTTATAGTAATCTGCCTACAGAGAGTCGAACAATGTGTACTTCACAGTAATTTTAAGTTCATTCCTTCATTTCATAAATTTCAATTACATCCCGCCATCCGTAAGTCACCATGAGCTTCCTACTTTTGTGATGAAATTTAATGGAAAGTGGATACATTTTCTGCTTTTTCTTGGAAATCAGCCGTTTTATAAACAGTCCTTCGTACGAAATCTGCTGAACGCAACCTCCAAGATAACAACACAAATACTGATTTCCTTCTTCATCAACGTCCACGCTGAGTGGTTTTCTGAGACCTTTATCTTCGTAAATGAATAAAATATCCTTGTCAAATGAAAACTGGGCTTCTTTCTCCGGAACACTGAAGGTGACAAGTTTGTTTCCTTCCGAATACGTTACATAAAGAGCTGTTCTACTTTCGTCTGTTGCGACATGGATCGGTCTCAAAAGTCCGTTTGCTCTGAAATCAGGAGGTCGAATTTGATGAATAAACAGTCCATCGGTCGTCATTATTATTACGTAATGCCCGTCACGCGCTGTCGTGATGGCCAATAAATGCTCATTCAAAGCAGCGATCCCCCAGCATTCAAATTTTGTTTTAATCTCTCCATCTATTTGAAAACCGTTTTTGACTTTTACAGTTAGGATCCGCTTTTCTTTTGGAACTGTCACAGCTATATTAGATTCGGTTATTTTTGCCATGTTCCATGGGTGTCCAGTAAGATCCAGACTTGTCAGATGCCTCGTATCTCCTCCAAATAGCTTAATCTTGGAATTCCAAAAATCTGCTACGAGTATCCGGAAATCTCCTAGAATGAGGACATCCGACAGATGGCAATACAGTAAATCCTTTGGTACTTTGGCGTTGAATTCCGATACTTTCACCGCCTTTTGTTCAGAGAAAGATGATTTTAAATCCACGAGATTAATTTCTTCACCAAACATAATACAGTATTCGTCACTAGGTATGTATAAGTTTGCCTTTACTCCCTTTTTCGTGTCTATGCTTCTCTGTGTTTTAAACTGCGTGTCCATATCTTCTACAGTGATGTTAATCTACCGTTAGTACACATGTGATCCATTCAGTCAAATTTAATACCTTACACACAATAACATCTTCATTGTATATAAATAGGTTTAAAGTATATGCTTATGTGGGTTACGCATAGATCAATAATCAATACCTGACGATCGATCTCTAACCAGGTAAGGTACTGTGTGATACAGGGACACGTAATACCTACTATTACTGTACTATGAAAAACGATCACTCGCTTAAGCATAGGAATTTTACATCCGGCTGACAAATTATAGACACAGTCGCTTGTCTATGCCAAGACTGGATATGCAATTGCAAATAGCGACCCATCCTCTAGGTACACTTTAGGACGGGACAGTTTATTTGTTTTTATATTGTTATTTACAATGATGATTCTAGTTTTGTATATGATTGCATCGACATATACGTGGACACGCTATACTTCCAAACCTCAGATCTATAATGGTTAGATAAAACATATTAAGGAAGAAAATTTGTTGAATCTGTATCTCTCGGCATGTCAATGGGTCTTGACGCAATCAAATTCTTAAAAAGTCTTTTTCGCGAAGATTTGGGTAGCCGATAAGGATTGCATTTTGCATGCAAAAACAATGTACCATGTGAAAATGTAAAAAAAAATTAAAGCGATTTTTAATGAAAAACTGGTCCAAACTAGTCTTTTTCTTCATAAACAACAAGATCGTTCATGAATACTGTTGTTTTCTTCGTGAAAAAAATACAAATTTTAACGGCGATGAAAGACAATTTATTACAGTAAAGAAAGTGATGCTATCATTAGAAAGACAACTCTATTTACGAAAAAGATAAACCTATAAATTCATTAATTAAAGATTTGCCTCGGTATATAAAAATAGTTTTTCTTGGATGAAAGCTACATTTTTCTAAACTATGTTAAAAAAGCGGGAGTTTTTGAGTAAAAAAAAATAAATTGTTTTACATTTAACTTTTTATTATGATGAAGTAATTAACACTTTACGGTGGAACTGACGCTGGTGAAAGTGACCATCACGATTAAAGTGACTTTTACATGAAGACGTTTTACAAAATGAATAACAACTCTTCGTAAAGATATTACTCGTTTCATCAGAATGTAATATTTTTAATGAATCGCTTGAAAAAGTTTAGTCAGGAAATTGTTTTGCAACAAAATCAGTCTTCATGAAATTTGTATAATGGTTCCCTCCTGTCATCAAAAATCGCAAAATCTTTGTAACACTCACCGGTTCATAAAAAAGGGGACTCAGATAACATCGATGTTTAATCGATGGAGCTAATTAATTACTATGTTCCTTGTTGACGGTATTCACATAGCATAAATAAAACGCGTGGATAACCACCACGATCGAAAAAGTGAATTAGGCAGAAGTGCTACTTATTGTGTGTTTGTGTGAGTGCGTGCATACGTGCGTGCGTGTGTGTGATTTGGATTTTTAACGTAGCTTACGTGTAGCATCATGTCCCACTCAGTCACATTATTCTGACACCAGACCGACCATTCCTAACACTAACCTCGTAATGCTAAGCGCCTAGCGAGGCAACTATTAGTACCATTTTTATAAGTCTTTGGTATGACTCAGCCGGGCTTCGAAGCCGCAACCTCTCGCATCCGAGGAGGAATTTATAACCATTAGTCTACCTGGTCGGTCATGATGCTATTTATGCAAATATTGTCTGGTTACATAGTCGTATTATCTGCAAGGATTGGCGTTAGAAAAAGAATTGCAAAATCTTTATGAACAATGATCCTTATCCCTTGAAAATTGCGTAATCATTATAAAGGAAGCAAATTTCTCCACGAAAACGAGCTTTTACACGTCAATTCAAATCTTTCCAAAAAGGTTACTTCTTTCACGAAATATTATTTTCAATTGAAAAAAATGTCCAATTTTAAGGAATATTGTAAGGTTCTTTAACAAAGACGTGCCCAGTATACATGCTAGTTTTTCAAAAATGTCACGTTTTTAACGTCAAGAAAGATAATCTTGATGAAAGATGTGAATCTTATGATGAATAAAGTAAGAGTCTTATGCAAATTATATGGAGTTATCAAACAAAACAAGAGGAATGATCAGAACAACATTCACCATTAAAAGTCCTTTCATTTTTTTTTGTTCGACACGTGTGCACGCTATTTACCCGAAAAATGACCATTTTTGTGAAGAGTTATCTAAACAAATTTTCGTGATAGAAAACAGTTTCTTCAAGAAAATATAGACTTCTCCGCAAAAAAATCTTTTTTTTTTCTTCACCACAGCAGCAGCAATTTGGATTGTTTGTCCAGCATGACATCATCGTATACTACGAGGTTATTAATACTCCAACCAGATCATCTAAAGATGGCGCTTCAACAATATTACTGATATTGATGAAGCGCCATCTGTAGATGATCTGGATGGAAGTATTAATAACCTTGTTCATATACATGTTCCCAGTGACCAAAAAATCTTTTTTCGTGAACAATCGTCATGTCAATTACATGAGCTGCTATTAACACATGCATAAAATCTGTCGGACAGAGTGTCTGTACTGTGATCTGCGACCAATCACCTTGGATCGTTGCTAGCCAAGGTTCCAGATATGATAACCTATCTACACCTTGGCGGATCGATCCGATATTTCAGTTGTGAAACGACCAAGACTCATAACTGGACATTTCTCTGCGAACATTTAAGACAGTATAAATGTCGGAGCTGCCAGATATAAATCGTCCCATATTCAAATACAAGTGAGGTTCTCAGTGGTAGTAGGTTCAAAGACAGCAGGGCTGGATTTTAGACGTGTGTGTGTGTGTGTGTGTGTGTGTGTGTGTGTGTGTGTGTGTGTGTGTGTGTTGATGCCCTAGGTCATTCATAATTATGCAAATAGGACATTACTTTATATATAAATGCTTGAGTTACCACGGCAAGAAACGAGTTATTCTTTTCTTTATTTTCAACAAGTTGTACCTTTGAACCCATGTTCATATGACGTCACACACCAAATCTATGATCAGTACGCACATTCCGCATGTCGGTATGTCTGTCAATGAATCAACCCATCAATAAGATGAAAGAGTAGTGGGTCTGTTGGCATTGTGTGTGTGTGTGTGTGTGTGTGTGTGTGTGTGTGTGTGTTTGTGTGTGATTTAGATTTTTAACGTGGCTTTAAAAAAATTGTCAATTATATCGCTACGATGTATGCAGTGTGACAGTTTGTAGTGATGTTTAGCAGCGGGGCATCATTCCGCAGACACGTAGCATGATGTCCCACCCAGTCATATTATTATGACACCAGGCCATCCAGTACTAACACTAACCTGTCAATACTGAGCGCCAAGCGATGCAGATGTTAGTATCATTTTTAAAAGTCTTTGGTATGACTCGGCCGAGGTTCGAACCCGCGACCTCCCGCATCCGAGGCGGACGCTCTACTACTAGGCCACTGGAGCGGTCAATCGGCATTGTTGGCTAAATCATCCTTTACTGAAAGATTTAGCTTTTCAATATATGAAAACGTAGCCAAACAAAATAACCAGGTCGCTTCATATTGTTACAAATCAGGGGTCTTTTGCTTGACCGAGCGGTGTCAAAACCCTGAGCTCGAATCCCGCTAGAAGTCATATGTTTAACCCATATTTCCAAAGACTTCTATACAACTTCAGTTATAAGTTGGAAAGCCAAACGTTTCCATTCTATACATAAATTTTACAATAATCAATACAAGACCACATTATTTACAACTTGCAATTTAGCCATCAAACGCACATCTCCACATTTTCTCTATATTAACTTTCCGTTCCGCTTGTAATTCACACCGTAGAAACTGTACAACTATCCCTAACACGGGGGACTAAATTTAACTGCCCACCTGAGGCCAGTCGAACTACCGTTCCAAGGCACATCACACCAGTAAACCTACTTCACATTTGCCGCTATGGCAACATAAACGGTATCTACCTAGTACTTTCTCATTTATCCTATTGTGTAATTTACCGGTTTACTACCATAAAATACTGCCGCTGCAGTCACAACACCGATGTATACCACTAATTTTAATAAAGTGCTATATCACGACAGAGACATCCTTTCGGATTGGGTCGGAGTTCGCTACTCATTGGCTATGGCATCTCACTAACACTTTCTCTCTGTGACGTTTGCTCCTAATAATTGACTAATTAGTTCGTGCTAAAGAATATTTCCCACTGAAACAAATTCCAATAATCAAACATGTAATCACACAAGCCTACAAATTGCTTAAACTAAATGCGCATCTCCTTAATAATAATAATAATAATAATAATAATAATAATAATAATAATAATAATAATAATAATAATAATAATAATAATAATAATTGTATTACAATATTCTTTCGGATGCATCAATTGCAAGTTTCATGAGTTCAAACTGTTTTATTGCATTATCGGTTAACAACATAATCGATCAATGTCAATAATTATTACATCATCGATAGTGAAACAAGACCTCCTCGATTTTCATTAGATGTTATCATGAGATATCAATGACTGTCATTTTTGGATTATCGGTAGTGACACGTTCCTCGTCGTACTCATTAGATATTATCAAAATATATCGATGATTATAGTTATTACATTATCCGTAAAGACATAGTCCTCATCGTAGTTATTAGATATTATCATGATATATCGAAGATTAGCATTATATCATTATCGATAGCAATACGCGTCCTGGCTGTATTCACTGGATGTTATTACGATATATCGATGATTACAATTATTAAGAAAAGTAGGTGGTAACATAATCCTCGTCGTAATCATTTGATGTTTTCTTGACAAATCACATCTTGGGTAGATAACGTGTCGTAATTATTTTGTACATTTGTTTTCTTTATTAAATACAGAAATGCAGCCGTGAGAAGAAGCGAAATGGAAGATACAACAGTCATGAAAAAACAGCTGCTCAAATGTCCGTTGTTTATTCCTAAGTCTGTGTACTTCACAGCAAATGCAACATCACCAACTAACTGACTAATCCCTGAAAATGAAGAAATTATAAATATATGATACTTAGTTACAACAGGTGGGAATGTCCAGGCAATTAGATATGTTGGGAGGTAATAAGAGTGGTTGTTTTAACACAAGGGCGATAAATCCTAAACATACTGCAATACAGATTCTAAGTTTATGTGTCTTTTTAAGCATGGATATGTATGTATGTATGTATGTATGTATGTATGTATGTATGTATGTATGTATGTATGTATGTATGTATGTATGTATGTATGTATGTATGTATGTATGTATGTATGTATGTATGTATGTATGTATGTATGTATGTATGTATGTATGTATGTATGTATGTATGCATGCATGCATGCATGTATGTATGTATGTATGTATGTGTGTGTATGTACGTATGTGTATAAGTCATACTAAATACCATTATGTTTTTTGTGTATACACACACACACACACACGCATATATATATATATGCGTGTGTGTGTGAATGAACAATGAAGCCTGAAAATAAATAAACGAATATTGTACTCTAATATGTGATTCAGAGAACATTTCATCAGATAACATTTCATCCGGAAGTGGAACACAATTCTTCGAAATTATAGTATGACTCACTTGTTTGTCTTAAATAGATGGATGTACAGACATAAAGGTACACGCATGAACGGACATAACGAACCTGCAGCGGCTCCTGCATAAAGGGCGCTATTGTAGAGGGATTCATTTTCTTTGACTGCCACATACCAAGTCAAACACAAGAGAAGGGTCACGTTCATGATTATTGTAATTATGTTCATAGCTTGGGTGGCCTCTATGAATCCTATAATAATAATAATAGTAGTAATATATATATATATATATATATATATATATATATATATATATATATATATATATATATATATATATATATATATATATATAAACTTTTTATCGAAAAAGTGGTTGTCTGATAATTGGATGATTAAAACTAATAAAGATGTCTTGGGTGAGATTTAACTGAATTGAGCAAATGTAAATCTTACTCCCCATTGCTGAGCTAAGTCTACCTTACGATAAAGGATCAGAATATCATATGCTTTTTCGTTAAGTCCACGGAAAACGACTTGACGAAAATAACCGAGCGTAGTTCCGATCTTAAATCAACCGCACTCCCAGGTCTTAGAGTTATTCCCCACTTGCTTTGGCAAAGCTAATTTATGTTGACTTTATAAGAAATACACATTTATGGTTTTAATTTGATTGTCGTTAAAATTGTTTTGTGTTTGTTTTCAGTTTTGTATAGGCACCTTTTACTTAACCAAAATATCATCAGAGAAGACAAATGAATGTCAGGGCGAATAGGAATTAAAAATTTATCTGATGATGTTAAGAAATTTCTTCTGAGTTTGCTCTACATTTGCATAATTACATCATATATTTTGGCCATATGACTTCAAATGAGCATAGAGAAAAACCCTCTATAAGTTGTAATCAATTCTAACTGCTAATATTACCTAAATTATATTATGGTTATTGCTATGGACAAAGACATTAAACAAGCTATAACTGTAAGAAAGTATTTTATTTTTAGCTTCTAAAACGTCGCCAAACGTTGACTATATCCAAACAAAATAATAATTTATTCTCTAAATTTACACCTGAAATATTTACTTGCAAAGTTATCCTAAAAAGAAGGGGCTCAAGTGGCCTAGCAGTCTAAAGCGCTCGCCTTTGTAAATCACTGCCATCTCACCTCTCTCCGCGTCGGTTCGGGTCTCAGGCAAGGGCAATGCGGGTATGTGAGAAATCTTGCCAGTAGCTTTGTGTGAGATCATAGTTTTTACCGGGATTTTCCCAGGTTCTTCCTCAAACACCTATCATGGACATTTTTCACAAACATTTCAAAATACCTTTGTAAAGTTTTAGACTTAGATATTAGTTAAGCGAACAAAAATAAATAGTTTTATCTTGTGACACTTTATTAAATATTTTACAATACAGCTTTCCTCACTGTCACGTGTGCATACGACTGTAACATACATACATACATACATACATACATACATACATACATACATACATACATACATACATACATACATACATACATACATACATACATACATACATACATACATACATACATACATACATACATACATACATACACATGCATGCATACATACATACATACAAGCATTAGTCATATATAAAATGACAATGTACTCAATATTGTTCATAAATATAACATTAAAGTACGAACTTACCAGGAGCATTGGATATGTACACGCAGTCAAATACTGCGTCTAATTTTGATGTGCAATTTTTCCACAAGCCAACGGAATACCTGAAGTCTTCATTTGTTTGATAAAACACCCATTCTGGCATGTTGATGGAGTGACCATTTAACACAAGGGCGACAATTCCCCAAGATAATGCAATATAGATTCTAAGTTCATAACATACCACGATGCAGTTCACCAAAGTGGAGGTCATTTGAAGAAATTCGCATTAGCTACTTTCCTGTGAAAGAGAATTCATGCTTAAATATGTTCTGATCTTTCAATGAACGCGTTGAGTATGTATGTATGTATGTATGTATGTATGTATGTATGTATGTATGTATGTATGTATGTATGTATGTATGTATGTATGTATGTATGTATGTATGTATGTATGTATGTATGTATGTATGTATGTATGTATGTATGTATGTATGTATGTATGTATAAGAATTGTAAGGAAGAAAATAAAATATACATAAAACATAACGCGCTTCTAACTCTGGTTGCTCTGCTTCATTAAGTACATAATATAATATAACTTGAAAGTAATTCGAAACGACTAAAAAGCTCTGAAATTCTGTCGAGTTATATGACAAAGATCGAGTTATCTGACAACTGAATCTGCTTTTTTGACATCTCAAGCCACTATGATATTTCTCTGTGCGTGGATCTTCTGCTATTACCTCAGTACGACAGAACATTTCAAGCTATTACTAATTAAGCACCAATAAGTTAATGAGGCTGTGACGTTACTCTTTTCCTTTAAATATTCTCTCACTGTACTTATGGATGTATGTATGCTGTTTAGTTATGAGTTTCACGCCGTGTTTCAGCTTATGATATACATATTGATGGAGTGACCATTTAACACAAGGGGGACAACTCCCCATGGTAGTCAGTATATCTGGTGAGGAGGAGCCTTGAAAACCCCCGAGATGAACCACCGACCCACAAGAAGCTATTGGCAACCTTTATCTCAAACCACGTTGGCTATGTATGTATGTATGTATGTATGTATGTATGTATGTATGTATGTATGTATGTATGTATGTATGTATGTATGTATGTATGTATGTATGTATGTATGTATGTATGTATGTATGTAATACCTACCGTTCAAAACGAGGCACATTTAAGATAGATAATTCCTTCAAGGAAAGAAACCCTTGTTATCTTTAGTA